TCAAGACTCCTCTCTCCTTCATTTTCTTTGTCAATAGGGAATTGTGATTCAACATTCTTGTCCACACACTTTACAACAAAATGGTAGAGTTGAATGTAAGCATCATCATATTCTTGACTCCGTTCGTGCTCTTCTCATCTCTTCCGCTTGCCCTGAAAAGTTTTGGGGCGAAGCTGCATTAACTAGTGTATACACTATTAATCGCATCCCAACAACAATTCTTAAAAATCTATCTCATTTTGAACGATTATTTGATAAGACCCTTGATTATTTTATTCTAAAACCTTTTGGCTGTGCTTGTTTTGTTTTGTTACAACCTCATGAGCATAACAAATTAGAACCTCGTGCCCATCTATGCTGCTTCTTGGGTTATGGGATAGAACATAAATGTTATTGTTGTTGGGATCCTATTTCTAATAGGTTGCGTATCTCTAGATATGTCACCTTCTGAGAACAAATCTTGTTTTCCTCGTTATCCAAATTTCACTCTAATTTTACTACTCCGTCTCAATTCTTTACAAATTTATCAGTCGATCTTTTTCCTAGTAATGACGCAGTTATTTCCAGAGAACTCAATTCTAATCCTATTCCTGCTACTGCTTCTACTGAGACTGGTCCGATTGCTGAGATTGTACCGGATATCCCTCCTCGACGTTCTACTTGGGTAAGAGAAACCCCTCATCATCTTCATGATTATCATTGTTTTTCTGCTATTGTAACCTTGGATGAGTCTCGTTCTTTTCGTGAAGCTAGTAGTGATCCTCTTTGACAGCAAGCCATGAATGAAGAACTTCAAACTTTAGAGAAAACTCGTACTTGGAATTTGATTGATCTTCCCCATGGCAAAACTCCTATCGGATGTAAATGGGTTTATAAAATAAAAACTCGTTCAGATGGATCCGTTGAGCGTTACAAAGCGCGTTTAGTGGCCAAATGTTATAGTCAAGCATATGGTATTAATTATGAAGAAACATTTGCTCGAATTATCTCTGTTCGCAGTCTATTGGCCATTGCCTCTGTAAAATGTTGGAAGCTCCTTCAGATGGATGTAAAAAATGCCTTTCTAAATGGTGATCTCCAAGAAGAAGTTTATATGCATCCTCCACCTGGATTCCCTCATCCTCCTAATAAAGTCTGTAAGCTTCAACATGCCTTGTATGGGTTAAAACAAGCACCACGAGCCTGGTTTGCCAAATTCAGTTCCACTATTACTCAGTTTGGTTTTATTTCTAGTCCACATGATTCTGCATTATTTATTCGCCGTACTGATAATGGCATTGTTCTCCTGCTTCTTTATGTTGATGATATGATGATAACTGGTGATGATGCAGCCTGTATTTCACAGTTACCATAGTAACTAAATCAACAATTTGAGATGAAAGATCTTGGTCCTCTAAGTTATTTCTTGGGTCTTGAAGTTTCATCCAACTCAGATGGCTACTATCTTTCTCAGGCAAAGTATGCTTCTGATTTGCTTTCTCGAGCTGGGATCACAGACAATAAGACTGTTTCGACTCCCTTGGAACCAAATGTCAAGCTTACTCCTATGGATGGTTCTCCTCTCTATGATCCTACTCTCTGTCGCCAACTTGTTGGGAGCCTGATCTATTTAACTGTGACACAGCCTGATATTGCCTATGCAATTCACTTGACCAGTCAGCTTATGGCCACTCCTCGCACATCTCACTTCTCTACCGTTCTTCGGATACTTTGCTATGTGAAGGGGACTCTCTTTTATGGACTTCATTTTTCATCTCACTCTTCTCTAGTACTATCTTGGTATTTTGATGCAGATTGGGCTGGTGATCCTACAGATCGTCGTTCCACCACTGGTTACTGTTTCTTTTTGGGTAACTCATTTATTTCTTGCCGCAGCAATAAGCAGACTGTCCCGGCTCGTTTTAGTATAGAGTCAGAATATTGTGCCCTTATAGATGCTACTACGGAGTTACTTCGACTTTGTCATTTATTAGAAGATATGGGTCTCTCGCACTCATCTTCTATTGCTCTTCATTTTGATAATCGAAATGCTATTCAGATTGCTCATAATAATGTGTTTCATGAGCGCACTAAACACATTGAGATTGATTGTCATTTTATTCGTCATCATGTTACTCTTGGTACTCTCCATTTAGAATTTGTATCTTCGTCTGATTGGATTGCTTATATTTTTACTAAAACTCACCTACGTGGGCTTTTTCACGACTTAGTATGCAAACTCAAAATGATATCTACAATACTATCTTGAGTTTGAGGGGAGGTGTTAGCATAATTTGTGTGATTGTAG